GCTGTAGGTTTTTTTGATATACATTCTAAATTAGGCCTGCAAAGGCATGCTTCATCTTTAATTCATCACTCTCAGCTGAAAGAGATTAGCAATGTCTAGCACGCACCCCTCGTATGGTGCTGACCTCATCAAGTATGGCCTGAAATTAATTAGCCTCATTCATTCCAAATGGAAAAGGATAATGGAGCAGCGTCTTAGCGATGACCATCACACATTGTATGCAGCATATTTAAAAGGCCTCTATCTTCAAACCGTGTAGATTAAAATTCCTTCCAGAGCTCACAATATGCCTGAGTTATCCAGGACCTAGAGGAGAGCCCAGTCGGTTTTGTGTCTGTTGGTAGTGCATGTAGGCTTGGATGTTGATGTTGCATGGGTCTTTTGCCCATGTCTGTTAATGATGTCTGCTCTCAGCTGGCTTGCTCTCCAGAATCACAGCTGGAGTACTTGACCAGCAAGAACTTGATGTTCAATCCTGTGTTAAATGATCTGGTAGCCCAGTAATGCTAAGTGCATGTTTTTGATTGCCGGTCAAAAGAAAATGCCAGAAGAAACGCTGCAGCTATTTTCCAAGATCCTAGTTGTTTTCTAATTTGGACACAGAAAAGCTCCTTAAAGAGGGACTCAACTTTCTATTTTGAGTTATTTTTGAGACTTTCTATGTCTTTTCCCAGTCTTTACTTTTTTGATCGTATTTTAAAACATGACCAGGGATCATGCTAGAAGACCAAATCCCTTCAATTTACCATCTTACTAAGATTAGCTGATTTGTTTCCCCTTCTGGGGATTGACTAAGAGAGGCCAAATTTTTGAATATCAAAACCGCTTTCTTTTTGAGCCAAAAAAATCTTGACTCAAGTTCTTTGGGATCCTCAAAGACATTGTAAAGTTTATTTTTATGAGCAGCAGACTATAGATCAGAAGGAGAAAGAACCCGTGAGTTTTGTGTTTTTGGTTTTAAATTTTTAAATAGTATGAAATATAGTCAGTTTCTGAAAAGGCACCATTAGTATTTCAGGGGCTGGGATTTTTGTATAGTGTATGTTTCTTAAGAAAAGAATTATCCCAGAATAAACTTTGTTTGGAGAAATAAAGAAGTAGATATCAGTGTAATATAACTGCTAGGCTCCCATTCAACCTCTAGAATCAAACTTGCAGTTTTAGAGAAATAATCTTTTCAGAGCTCTTTGATGTACTAAAGCTTCATATATGTTACTTAAGATTAGTTTATCTTATAATACAGCAAAGATTGGAAGTTTCTCCTCTGTCTATAGACAGATGTGGCAATTTCTCTAAGCTCACTCTTGTTCATCATTCCATGAGAAGTCCTTTTATCTAATGGTCAGTATCATCTGTGTGCAGAAGCTCATCAAGCAGAAACTGAGCATCTATCATTTGGATGTAAAAGATTTACCTTTCAATGTTCCCCAAACCTCTAGCATATGATTGGAGGAAACTCACCAGCTTAAAGTCTGGGAGGATAAGATGTGAAAAACAGAGAAAAATTAACTTACACAAATTTGATTTTAACAGAACCAGGGGGAAGCAGTGATGTACTGCAGAATTTTAAAGGTTGAGAGAAATAGGTAAATTGCAAATTACTATCTAGTCATTTTGGGATGTCATGGCAAATAAATGCGACTGTAAATAAAGAGAGATCCTTTACAGCAGCAGTGATTCACTGGCACAGATGTGCTAAACTGTATTTTCCTAATAGTAAAATTTATATTACGTTTACTATTGAGACAAGGGAATGAGAGCATTCTGTACACTGTAGTTCATTTACCTAAAACGCCTCTCATATTTCACTTAAGAAACTATATTTTTTTTAATCAGCAGAGGTAAAAATAACACCCATGCTCTAAACATAAGGATTAGCTTCACGAAATGTGAGTTCATTGAAATGACAAACTCAAAGTTAGACTCAGACTAACTTATCAAATCTCAATTGGTACCCAAGTGAAACCATGATTCTTTACCTTTTGGGCCTTTGAAAGTAGAAAAAATGCACATTGCAATTCAAGCAGGCCTCTTCTATCTATACCTTGACTCAGTAACATATGGGTAAACTTCAATTCTCATATGTGTTCATGATGAAACTTGGAGGCTGCTTTAGCTGACAATGAACAAAAGATAGGTTATGCTAGACAGAATGGAAGATGTTTTTGGAATGTCTTTGTCTTATTTTGTATTTCTTGAAATTCATCTAGAGATGACAAGAAGAACAGTATTTATGAAAAGAACTTTCATGATGTTTGTGGAAACAGCTGAAGAGGACCAACAAGACAGGAAGCAGTCTTTGGGTTGGTAAATATGCCTGTCACTTTGTTTCTGAACCTAGAACCTTGCAAACACTGGGTGATTATTCTGCTGTGGAGCAAAACCTCTAATCCACAGAAGGCTTTTTAGTAAGGAGAACATGGATGGAAAAGTACCCTACGGTCTCAAGGGTACTTGATAAGCAAAGGCTCTGTGCTAAGCTATGCATTAAGGTCACCTTTCACCGCAGTGCAGGGCAAGCAGTACTGTTCTGCTCTTCAAGTGAAGATGATGAAGTACAGGGATGCTATACAAGTTGCTCAAGGTCACATTGCTTATAAAAATGACCAGATCCAGTGTGCACCATGTTGTCTTTCAGCGCTTATGTCCAGTATGTACAATGCTCAACTGCCTGTCAAGAGAAAATGTAATTATGGTGTTTGCAAAACAAATTGTTACAGGCTATGCATGGGAGAGTTAACTTTCCATTTCTGGGCAACCCACAGCACTGAAAGAATTACTTGGGAGAAAAATAAACCAAAGGAAAGTGTTTCCTATCTCATCTTCTGATCACTCGGTCAGAAGAACATGGCTTCCCAGTCCTCCCATGAACCCCTGGCAGGCTAGATTAGACAGAGGAAAGTGGGGAGGGAGAGGGAGGGAGGCAGAGAGAGAGGTGGGAGAAAGAGGGAGGAAGAGGAGGGAAGGAAAGATGGAGACAGGAAAAGGGAGAGGAGAGAGGGTGAGAGAGGGAAAGGGGGAGAGAGAGAGAAGGAGAGGGAGAGGGGGAGAAAGAGAAGGAGAGAGGGAGGAAAGGAGGAGGGAGAAAGGAAGGGAGAGAAGATTGAGAAATGGAATGGAACTTAAAGGAAAAGACTCAAAACTGTCACAGAAAGAGATTGACTTGGAAGGAAAGATCAAAAGGAGAATGAGCAACTCTGCTTAAGCGATAATTCAGAGCTTGGCTACACACTCTGGCGATATTCAGAAGAAAAATGTGTGATGGGGGAAGTTTTGAAGAAACAAGAAGGAAGGCCTGAGGGGAGAAAAAATAAAAAGAAAGAAATTACAGGCTCTCTAAGATTTTTGTCATTGCCTTTTGTCACAAAGAAAGGTGTACTTTTTTTTTTTTCTTTTTCCTACTGAAGTCTAAGCTAAATATTTTTCAGTGAAATTTCTTCCCTCATGTTGCATAGGTCAGCATAAAGCTGACCTACCAAATCTGGTTCACAAAATGCTTTGTATTTATACAGTAAAATATGAAGTGCCCTTATATCTCTTATGGCCTGAGTCTTTTATCTCATTTAATGTCCCATTTAATGATTATCTCATTTAATGAACTTGTAAGGTGTATGTAATTATCTCTGCTTTGCAAATATGGAAACAGGGCTCAGAGAGGTTATATAGCCTGACCACCACCACACAGCCTAAATCTCTGAAGAGTCCTTCCTGTCTTTTCCCAGAACACCTCACTGTCTTCCCCACATAATGTGAGTGGCACAATTTTAACCTGAAAATGATGTCACAGAACAACTGGTTATGACCAAAATCACGATGGCACACTCTGGTAAGCGTTTCTTATGTTGGGCTGGGATTCTGTGTTGCTCTGAAAGCTGCCTGTTGTCTTGCAGGTGGTGCTCAGTCTGCACAGATTAGGCAAAAACTCTTCATGTAGATTAAACCTGCTTCTGCCTGCTAGGATGGGGGATCAAATGAAAGGTGGATGGAAGGAAAATACTACATAGAAGTCTATAGTGAAGGCCCCAGCCTCCTGGGGCCTCACCTGGCTCTTTCAAGGAATCTCAGTGATGGGAAAAGTTCCGTATTTCTTGAAAAGCATGTAAACCTTCTATCTGGAAAAGGGACAGTGGCATTTGGGAGCAATTACCCAGATCAGGAGGCCATAGGGAACTGTTTACACTTTGTAGCCCAGGGCCCTTTGGCTCTGGTCCACAAGCAGGCATTTCAGCTTAATGTTGACTTCCCTCTTGACCTGTGTGTCCAAGCCAGAGAAGAGCAGAGAGAAGGACCTGTTGTCACTTGCCCAAGACATCCAAAGCAAGTAGGACACAGAACAGTCTTCCAGGTAAAAGAGTTGACTCAGAGATCCCCTGCAGTGAAGACATGGATTTTCATCACTCAGAGCAACTTCTGACCCTGAGTATTGTGTCAGGATGTTGTTTTTCAGGTGTATGTTCCTCAAAAAAGATTTTTTTTTGCACAAGAAATCAGGAAGTAACAGTTCTCTGCCATCTCCTGTTTAATTACTACAACACTTTGATTTAACTTTGGTTTGGGGTTAGTCAGTGGCCAAGGGAATATAGTGAGGTTAACACCATAAAAACTGTGCCAATGAGAGGGGTTTTAGAAACAGGTAGCAAATTCAGAGCTTTTATTTTATAATTTTATTTATTTATTTATTTATTTTTTTCAAGACAAGGAATCCCTAGGTGGCATTGGCTCACCTAGAACTTACTATGTAGACCAGGTTGACTTTGAACTCACAGAGCTACGCCTGCCTCTGACTCCCAAGAGCTCAGGCTAAGGGTGCATAGCACAGTGCCTGGAAATTACAGGTATCTTGACTTAATTAGAAGCATCTAGAACATTTGGTCTAAACTTTGAAGTTTACAAAGGTTAAACTATGAGATTGGGATGCAAGTTCCTCTCCTGTCAGAGGACAAACTGTACTCATTTTTCAGAACTTTGGCAATTTCAAAATTGTTTGAAGGTAATTATCTTTTTTTTTTTTTTTTTTTTTTAATGTAATCCTGAGGAGAGTGGCTTGACCTTGCTTGCTGAAATGTCCACAGAGGTGAAGAAGCATGAAGAATGGGAGGCATCCATCCCAGAAGAGCAGGCCTGCCAATTATAGCAGGGGTGAGGAGACTGGCAGTTTTTCCTGTGGTCAGAATGAATGCCTGCATGCAAGATTTTACACAAGACCACACCAAGTACTACTGGTAGATTGATAAATTGAAAAGAACCACAGGTAGGGGCTGGCTTCTTCTTTCTTAAGTTCTCTCCCTCTCTCTTTTTCTCTCTTTTCTTAAAAAAAAATCTTCCTTAGCCTGGTTCAGTAGCACATGCCTGTAGTCCTAGCATTTGGGGAGGAAGAGGCAGGTGGATCTCTATGAGTTCAAGGCCGTTCTGGTCTACTAATCTAGGTTAGGACAGCTAAGGCTACACAGAGAAACATTGTATTGAAAAACAAACAAACAAACAGTCAGTCAGTCAGTCAGTAGCTTTTCTGCTGATGTTTAATATTTTTATTTTGTGTTCCAGGCACACCTTCAATCCTAGCATTTGGGAGGCAGAGGCAGACAAAACTGTTATATCAGAGCCTGTCTAGTTTACACAGCAAGTTCCAGGCAAGCCATGGCTACATAATGTGACCTTGTCTCAAATTGTGTGTGTGTGTGAGAGAGAGAGAGAGAGACAGAGGAAGAGAAAGAGAGAGAGACAGACAGAGATAGAGACAGAGACAGAGACTGAGAGAACACCATAGGTGTTTCTGGGATAAGTTCTCACCTTCCACCTCATTGATCAGGATCTCTGTCATTTCTGTTACTACATTATGCACTTCTGGCAGTATGGCTTCTAGGTGATTTCCCTGTCTCAGCTTCCCATCTTCTGGTAAGAGTGCTTGGATTACAGATGTGTGCACAGCTTTTCATTTGGGGATTGAAATTAGATAGTCAAGCTTGCACTGCTAGCAATTTCTTCTGCTGATTCGTCTCCCCAGCTCTCTGAAATTCCCTAAAGAAGGACTTAGATGAGGTATGGAGGGATAGTTTAGTGATTAAGAGAGCATTTCGCTCTGTTAGGAACCCAAGTTTAGTGCCTTGTGTGGAGCTCACAACTGCCTGTAACTCTAGCTCCAGGAGGTACCTCCACAGGCACTTGAACCCATGTGTACGCTCACACAAACACACATGCCTATACATAATTTAAAACATCAAAAAAGGACACCTGAAATATGGAGCTTAGATTGAAGCTGTGATGTGGACTCTCAGAGGCATTTTGGTCCCATCATCCAGTGACGCTGAAGGCAACTAAGATCGTGCCACTCCAGCCCAACATAGAACTGGTCACAAAAACCCAACTTCTTCCATGTTGGATTTTTCTGATCCTGGCTTATCTCAACAATTTACCATTTTCTGCAATGTCAGAGCCCATGACATTCACAATTAGCTTCCAAATTAACTTAGAAATGATAGTAAGCTCTCAGCTAAATGATAGCATATCCACTGGGGATGAGAACAATTTCCCAGAATAAGGTTAGGACTAAGTTGTGTGGTGATGATGTTAAGGTGGATCATGTCAACGTGCTTATTCTGATGTGAGCAGGAGTTCCGTGTGGCACTAGAGATTACAACTAGAGTTCTTCACTCTAAATCGGCATGCTGGTATTCCTCTACCGTGAAACAGATAAACTTTAAATAATGTTTTCTGTTTGCATTTCAGGTTCTACAGCAGAAATAAGAAGGTGTGGACCTGTGGGAAGAGGCTCTGGGGACATTGTTTCAGGCTCCTGCTGAAGCCAGCATTTAGGAGATGGACAGCTGTTCAAGGAAAGGAAGGTAGATTTTGTGAATTTCAAATTCTAAGCAAGTAACGTGCATGTGTGAAGGCCTGGGCCATGGCCGCTAGGGAGATAAAGTGGAAAGCTTGCTCTCCCACAGCCACCATTCTTTAAAAGATTTAAAAGCTTTATTGATTGCTCTGATTGAGTATATACAGGAGTAGAAATCACATTGGGCTGGATTCTGTCCTCAGAGGCATCATTTTTACCCTAAAGGAAAAATTTCAGTATTTAAAGATAACGGACACACTCCCTAACCCACTACATTCATTTTCCTGGATCTATTTCCTAGATCCCCACAAGACAAGGACTTTTCTGAGTTGGCCTGGTTTGCCAGAGTATCCTAAGAAGTCTCTTGAAACAAATAAAACACTCAGAACTTCTGTGACTGTCACAGACAGTATCCTGTTACTAGCTTTAAACAGAGCCCCTCAAGGGGAAGAACCCCCATATCCCAGAGTCAGATGTCAGCCATCTTAGGTATGTACAGGGGATTTAATGCTTTTAAGAATGTTTCATGTTTATCCCCATTAAATTTCATTTCGCTTTGGATTTTTGGGAGCTCTTAGAACCCGTCACTCCCATATTTTGTTGCTTTACAGACTGAACTATTGTTTTTTTTTTTTTTCCTCTCCCATTGTTTTACTCGCTCACTGAACTAAATTTTGACCGTATCAGGGTTTCTGGAGTTTCCAGGGTTACTGTGGTGAGAATAAGTGCATATTTGTTCTGACAGCTCTTAAGGAGTGGTTAACTGAATTATCTCCAGCGTGAGATTTGCCTGGATTTAAGTCCTGAGCTTGCCAATATGCAGGGCAGTGTGAGCGGCTCAATTTATGTGAGCCTCAGTTTCTCATCTGTAAAATGGAGGTTCTAGTAGCACTACCTCATGCTACCTTTGTGACAGTATTCTAATGACTAAATGAATTAACATATGCAAAGCACTTATATTAGTGCCTCAGACAGGACTAGCACTATTTATTGATAGAGATATGATAAATTGAGGCTGGTTCCTAAGAATGAAGGCAAAGTCTTGTTTATAGCCCTATCTTGTGTTGTCATTATTCCAACAATATATTTCTATAGCGGTAATAACAGGTAATATAATCAACTCTGTAGTTACTGATGTTAACAGATATTTAATAAGTTATAAAAAAGGAAGAAAGAAATCTTGGGTCAGACAGACAGCTAAGTAGGTAAAAACTGCCAAGCCCAATGAGCTGAGTTTCCTCCCTGGGACCAACATGGTGAAAGGAGAGAACAGATTCCTGTGGGTTGTTTTCAGGCATCCATACACGGACTATAACACATGCACATGAGCACTTAGGCTGCGCCTCTAGGAGGCTGAGCAAAATAAAAGAAAATAATAAAACAAAACAAAATAAAATCTAGATATTTTCAACACACACACACACACACAAAAGACCTAAATGAGAATGGTTGTATTTCATAGATCTTTGTTTTGCTTAACCGTCTGTACATTTCCCGGTCATAGGAAGACCGGGAAGAGAACTGTCCTAAAAGTCATCTACTGTGTGGACTTCTCTGCACAGTCCTCTCTTTCCACAGACACCAGCACTGGGCCTTCCTGAGTAAGTACAGGAAGTATAATTCTCCCCGTGTTTCACTGCTGTATGTTAAAACAAGTTCTCATCAGGCTAGGAATGTCAGTCCTTTGGAGACTTTTTTTTTAGTAGGTGGTTCTCTTTGAACCCCGGTCCATGCTAACTTAGACAGCTTGGGTATTTCCCTATTTCTTTATTAGTACAGTGGAGCTCAGAGAATGAAACGCACCAGCCTTTTCTTTCTTTCTTTATTTGTACGTGTTCTATAGGGGCCGCTGATGCAGGCACCTGCTGTAGGGTATGGGAGGAGCTTTTCTGTGGGAGCAGAGAACACAGGTAATATGATCCAGCCTTGTTGTGTGTGCAGTGTGCTAGCTAATACTTTTGACAGCCACCATCTGAAAGGGGTGTAGCAAGTCATTTAAAATTTGTACACACACTGCCCTATCCATTACACTCGCCCATATTATACCCATAATCTCCAAGGGCAGAGATGCTATTACCCTCGGCAGGCCAAGATCTTCTGTGCTTATATACACACGACTCCCACCGTCTGTGCCATGGAGGTACTTCAAGGGGAGTTCTCAGCAGCATAAATTTAGCTCAGTTCAGTCGTGACCACAGCAGGCCCGGCTAGACAGAGAGACCTGGCTGTGTGTTAAAAAGGCTAGAGAAGAACAAAAAGGCTGCCAGGTTTCATAAGAAATTTTATCCCTGGAGCATTAAAAACTGTAGTCAGAGACTCACCCCCCTCCTCATCCTTGTCCCACCATGAGTGGCCCGCAGGCTAGTATTGGAAGCAGCTGAAACAGAGTGGGCATTAAAAGATAAGGTCTACCATGTGGTGAGACCATACTTTGCAGCCTAGCTTATTAGGTGAAGGGGGGGGGGGCAATTCCCTACAGGTGATCTTTCTTTAAACCACTTATTTATCTATATAAATATAAATGTAAAAAGGCACCTGAGAAACAATTATGTTTTTTTTTTTCCTTATTCCATATAACAAAAACACAAAGCCTGCAAACACCGTATTGCTTTGGGACATATATAGTGTATATAAATTCTCACCCTGAAGTGAGTCATAGTGGTTCCCAATGTAATTCCTACAAACTTTTTTAGGGCCTCAAATCATATCAAAGCGACCAGGTATTACTGACCTCAAGCCTCGGCTGCAATAATATCAGGATGTTCTCCTAAGCCCTTGGCGTTGTAGCCCTCCAGGCTGTAAGCATTCAATTCCCATTTATTCCTGACCATGGAAAGTGGTATTTTGACAAACAGAGCCTGGGTTTCAATTCCTGCTTTGTACCATGATAATTATATATCTTAGAGATGTTGCTTGACCTCTGGAAGCCCTGTTTTTCTCATCTGTATTCAAAGGCTGACAATAACTTATTCATGGTTGCACTGTGTGGAAGCCCTCAGAGGAAAGGACACACTTTGATGAGTGGCTACAGGCTTCCTTCTACATCCTGACTTGATACTCCTTCAGATCTGTGGATACTAAGGGAAACACAGCTAAACAAGGGGCCACATACCTGTAATGGGAGCAATTGGGAGCCTGAGGCAGGAATATCACAGTGAGTAACATAGTGAGACCTTGTTTCAGAAAACACAACAAAGTAACAAAACAAACCACATAGCTAGGACTGGTGATGTGCTTAGTCCCTGCACTCAGGAGGCAGAGGCAGGTGGATGCCTGTGAGTTTGAGGCCACCCTGGTCTACATAATGAGTTTCAGGATAGCCAGAGCTACATAGTGAGACCCAGTATTTAAACAACAAACAAAACCAACACACACACACACACACACACACACACACACACACACACACACACACTGAAAGAGCAATTATTAACTTAAAAGTTCACATGCAACTTTTTTCCGCCTTCAGTTTTGGCGAGACCAAAAATCAGGAGTAATTCTTTGGATGTTGCTAAACTAGTCTGTTTCATGATAATTAGTTTAAATATCAAAAACTATATTACTCCTCTTTAGACTTGTGCTTTCTTCATTAAAAACAAACCAAAAGAGAGTTGACAATATGAGTACCTTGGTTTGGAATCAGATTAATCACATGTTAAAAAATTGCACCACTCTGAATGAAAATGTACAAAAGATAGTCTAGTCACATTCTAAAAAACTGATGTGTTCTTGAGTCTGAAAAAGTGCAATTAGTTACTTTGAAAAATATGGATAATTCAGCATAGAATCATGGGCTTTTTGCATAGTTTTCTATATGAAAGCACTGCTTTATCATTGTTATGGGAAACTGGTACATGTAATGCCCTGAGAGCTCTCTTCATAGATACAACTATGTACTTCTTTTAAAGAAGAAAGTAACAACTAAAATTAGGATGCTTTCAGAGAGCACTTACAGGGTGTGTGGTATGTGTGTGAGGGAGAGAGAGAGAGAGAGAGAAATTGGTGATCGCGATGTAGCAATTTCTGTTCCTATAATAAATTCATTAGAAATAGAACAATTTGGGCCAGCATGATGGTTCATCAGGTGAAGCCACTAAGCCTAATGTCCGGACTTCAGTCTCCAGGATCCACACGGTGGAAGGAGAGAACCAACCCCTGCAAATTGTCCTCTTACCTTCCCATGAATGTGCGTGGCATTAATGCCCCTCTCATCCCACAGTCACAAAATAAATTAAATGTGCTTTAAAAAAAAGAAAGAAAGAAAGAAAGAAAAAGCAGGTTTTACTGTGAACATGAATCCAGGAAATCAATCAGTCTCTAAAAAGAAGATAAAATTGATGTACTTAATTCAAACCTAAGGCGATTCCTATCCGTGTAATGCTAACTAATGCCAAGCTCAGAGTTTACACATATAACACTAAGTTTATTATTTAGATATTATCAACCAAGCAGAAAAATATTAAAATAGACCTGTATTCTGTCTTCCAGCTCACACGTATTCATGTTTACCCAGCCTCTCAAGTTCTGACTGAATTCATGCATCTAATCTAAAAGAAAGTTAAGAAAAACAAGGTACCCTCCTGCTTTTTGTTCAGTTTTTGTCCCAATTTTGGGTAGGCCTTCATTATCTCCTGCTTGTATGTAATATCACAGGACTTTACTGGCTGCGTCAAATTGATTTAGGACACCAGACATTTTCTTAAAAATTAAATTCTCCATGAAAACGTAACAGGACCAGCAACATCGAAAAAGCGTTATGGGAAAAATGCCAGAGGTTGAGCTAAAATGAAGCCTGAATGCTTTGTGTCAGGGAGGAGGGGAAAAGGGTCAGACAAGAGAAATGAAAGGAAAAGCAGGACAGCAGGGGAGGCATGGTGGAGAGGAGGGACCAAAATTAGAACAGGAGGCGCTGTTTATTAATAACCTTACTGACCCACAGGCCCCTGACACAAAATACATTAAGGATTCTTGGGACACTCTGGCCTGTCACTCACAGGAGGAGCCAATAAAATGGTGCGGAGACTGCAAACGTTCTGAGAACAGATGAAAAAGAAAGAAGATAAATCGGAATAAGGGAGGCACAGAGTGAGAAGGCTTGAGGTGGTCCATGATCCTCCTTCTTCCTTTCCAGCACCTTCTCCATGCTGTTCCCTTCTGCTGATACTCTTCAGACAAGCCAGGAGGAACAAGTATTGCTCTCTGGGTTGCTGGGAGAATTTAGAATTTATGGAAAACATGATGATATAACCCAAGTCACCTCTGACTCTGCCTCTATGGTGTAGTTTCTGCTAACACTAACACGTTGACAAATGCAGACTGACCATTTCCTTCTACTGTCTTTTCCTAAGACAAGGTCTCCTGTAAGCCAGGTTGACCTTGAACTCACTATATCCCTGGGAGTGACCCTGAGCCTCCTCAACCTCCTGCCTCCCACCTCCCGAATGTTAGGATTACCAATGTACACCACCCCACTCATCCAGCTTCCTTTTTGTAAAAAGTGAATTTGTAGTTTTTGTTTCTTTTGTTTGTTTTTTCCAGACAGGGCTTCTCTGTGTATCCTGGAACCCCCTCTGTAAATCAGGCTAGTTTCAAACTCAAGGAGATCTGCTTGTCTCCGCCTAGAATGCTAGGATTAAAGTTGTGCAGTATCCTCACCCAGCAAATTTGTATGTTTAAAAAAAAAATGAAATTGAGGCTCCATGTATAGTCCATTGATCTGTTAACTACTCTTTCTTTTTTTTTTTTTTAAGCTGTAATGAAGATTTGCCCATATTGATAAAACAGTTTTAAACAGGTTTTTATGTCACCGTTATATCTCTGTACATAGGTCCTGTAACTTTTTGGTCTGGGTAGTTACATCATTTAATTGTGGTGCTGGGAATTGAACCAGGGACTTTCTGATGCTAGAAGAGCATTCTATCATTGCCCCAGTTATGTCATTTGTAATTGTTTTCTTGTAAAATCTTGTATCTCCATTTCCTCTCGATATATTGCTATAGCTGAGACTCCCAGGTGAGAGCTTTTTTCCTTCTTCCCTTCCTTCCTTCCTTCCTTCCTCCCTCCCTCCCTTCTTGCCTCCCTCCCTTCCTCCTCCCTCCCTCCCTTCTTGCCTCCCTCTCTTTCTTCCTTCCTAAACATTTGCAGAGTTACCCTCTGAAAGATGTATGCCTAATTTATCATTTCACAGTTAATAGGAATATAGATCTTTTTATCAAAGACTATCTCAAAGTATAGCTCGAACTGGCTTAGAATCAGTTCGAGGCCCAGGCTGGTCTAGAACTTTCAGCAGCCCTCTTACATTAGTTTCACCATTGCACTGCACACTGCTGTTCCCAGTTTTCTTTACATTCCTTGGTTTTTTGCCCTGCTTTGTACAGGCATAGTGATTTCTGTGCTCTGAGACTTCTTTTATTTACTTAACTTTGTCTAGAAGTTCTACAGAGTGATTTGTTGGTTTTAAATCACACATTTAAAAATGCAGTCTTGGGTTTATTATTGATATCTAACATTAATGTGTAATCCCAGGGCTCAGGAGGCTGAGGTGGGAAGCTTGCTCAGGATTCAAGGCCAGCCTGGCAGACAATCAGTTCCAGGTCTCAAAACAATCAACCAATCGATCATATCAATTACTCAATCTTAAATTTATTAACCCCTTCACTATCTGATATTGGGGACACTTTTTCTGTCTGAGCTTTTAGGTGTTGAGACACTTATGTACATTCATGACTGCAGATGTTAACTGCCTTCTGCTCTCCTCTCTTCTCTGCTTTTTCAGCTGACTAGGCTCTGTGTGTCTCAGGGTGAGGTCATGTGAACCTGCTTTTTCTTCTAGGGCTTTTAAAATAGCACCCTCCCCACTTTGGGAACCACGAAAGTCACTTCTCTGGAGTTTGTTTTGGTCCTTGTGGTAAGAATTCACTTAATAAAGCTACTTCTCTAAGAGCTGTATGCTAGCGGCCCTCTCTCTGCATCCTTATATTTTCTTTTGTAATCTTTTCATCTTCACGTTCCCCCAGCACTTCCCTTTTTGTTAAGTACCCTTTCCTACCTGGCAAGTTTTTTCTCATTGAATAGTTTCCAAAGAGCTGAGCCCTCGTGTGTTACTCTTTAACACCTTGGTACATTCGAAATATGAGAGAATGTATTTGTACATTCATGTTGGCAAGCTAAGATTTCTAATTTTGAGTTATCTCATGCAGAAACACGCATGCATTCTCATTTATCTTTTTGTGTAACCTTCTATACATTTGGAGTTTCTTCTTGTTCTCCTTGTTCTTGTTCTTTTTCTGAAAGTGTCACTTGCAGTGCTTTTCTGCATGTCATTTTTCTGTTATATTTAATCACTGTTTTCTGGGAAAAGTTGTCTGTTTATACATTTTCTGTTGCATTTACCATTTGACTGATTCCTTAATCAAATAATTAGTTAATTTTGGTTTTTTTTGAGTTATCTAGATAGATAACATTATCACCGTAGACAAGTGATTTTTCTGTTCTTGTACTCCTTAAAAATCTTTCTTTCTTTCTTTCTTTCTTTCTTTCTTTCTTTCTTTCTTTCTTTCTTTCTTTCTTTTTTTTTTTCTGTCTTACTTCAAGGCCAGAACCTCCAAGCTATTTAAAGCACTCCTTTTTGGAGGTGCCTCTAACGTTTTGCTAGCAAGAATGCAGACAGAAACACAATATGCTTTTGGTCAGCTCTCGTGTGTGGATATTTTTCCCCCATTTAACTTTAAATCTCCCTCCCTGGGCCTTCTGTTTGTTGGCCCTCACACTGGCTGCCTCCTAGGTCATTTTTTCTAAATATTGAATAAGTGTGACCCTTTTTATACTTGAGTGTTCTCTGTAAATGCAGGCATCCCTTGCATATTCATCTATTCTTCTTTTCATGCCTAGTACCCATTGTTCCCTGGCAGTAGAACTCTCCTTTAGTTCTCAGACAGTCAAGATCTGAGCTGCTCTTGTTTCATCTCATGTGAAACCACCAGGCTATTTTCTGCCAACTGAAAAGTTAGTGTCTTGCATAAGATTTTATATTTTCACATTTTAAGAAAATGCTAAACTATTTTCTCACATAGAAAATTATCATTTCATTTGAATTTGCTGACTTTTTGCCAGTGGGAAGTAAAAATAACCCAGAATTTTGCATATGCCATGCAAAAGGATTTGGTTACATGAGTTTAGATTGGTTAAAACAATAAGTGAGAAGATATCGAGGGAAATAAAGACGACTCCTGAGAAAACTGGGATGCCTGTGTCAAGGCAGGCTGGCGGATGCCTCCTGAGTGGGTTGGGCCTAATGATGGTGGGACCTTAAGTATGTCATTGTGTCACTCTCTGCCTGAATGTCTTCACCTACAAATCTGTGGGATAATGCCAGAATTAGCAACAACTCCAATTAAGCATTTAGTTTGACACATGTCATACAGCACACACAACAGTAACTGTTAGGACTATTAGATTTGAAGTCAGGTAATGGGTGTTATTTTAGAAAAGAAATAGAAAATAAAGGCCCTTCTCCACCATGACTTTCTCTTCGTAGAGCCGATTGCACATACACTCAAGAATTTTATGATTTAGGCAAAAGGAAGAGATGTCGTGAGGGTTGGACTTCTGCCCAACATAGGAGGAACTGTTAGTTTTATTTCCCCCTCTTCTTCCTGTCAGTTTTCCTTGAGCCTAACTTGCTGTTTCACCCTGCTTGCAGAGACCCTGCTTTTCTCTGAGGAAGACATTTTGGTAGTGCGGCATATTAAATCACTGTGCCTGTGTGCCTAGTGTTTAAGAAACTTGTCAGCACTCCTTAATTTCTCCAATTTGTGAGCCTAGGGAAACACTCTTATTGGTATGAAACTTAGATCCTAAGGAAAAAGGGTGTGAACTTTTTTCTATCTTTCTCCACACAAAGATCAAAGTCTGTATTTTTTTTAACATGGTGGGAGGTAACTGTGTTATTATTATTGGTTAAAATTAATTATCCCTTACTCCGTATTGTACCTTGTTTATTTTATCTGTGCTGCTTTCCCAAAGGGGCAGGCTTGAGGCCCCCATTTGGTTTTTATTAGTGTAATCAGTTAATAGCTGTTCTATAATGCTTTACTTATTGTGTTAATTTTCTGTAGTTATGTCCAGAGGCACCTTCCTGGAAGACCACATTAGAAAAACAAAACAAAACAAAACAAAACAAAACAAAACAAAATAACACCCCTAACTTCTTCTTTAATGGGTTTGGTTACCACTTATGGCCTCAGCTCAGATTATTAAACACTATTGGTCTACAAGGGTACTGTGAATAGACGTAGACCGTAGGTAGTATTTCAAATGCATCTCTGAGTATCAGGGTATGGATGTGTAGGCTATGTAAACGCCAGTGTCTACAGTGACAGTGGTGCATCGCACCAGCAACTTGGACTCACTCAATTTTATACAGATGTGTCTCATTTCTGGGGCCCAGGACACCAGTGCCCACTGCTGTTAGAGGTTTTCATGGAAATGTACCCTGTGTGAGTTTTGATTTTTACAGGACTAGTTCTGAAATACAAATGGAGCTTCAAAGCAGGCTACAGTGACAAATTAACTTACCTGAAGGACAACTCAGGAAGTATTTTCCTGTAGGCGATAGATCAGGCCCTCCCGTCACTCATATTATATATTAGATAAGAACATCTTCAAAGTTAACAGGTTCTAGGTCTACCTGTAGTGAAAACTAGCCAGACCAGCTCTCTGGATGGCAAGGAGTTCAGATGAATGTATTCGCTGGCTCTGGCTCTGGTTGGTCTGTATAGTGGCCCATGGGGAAGAACCCTTTGCAGGTGATGGGATCTACATCAGATGGTTCTTGTTTGTTCTTCAGTCCCTGGGGGTGATCAGGGATTCACCCAAAACAAACTTTCATTAAGGCTTCAAAGTCATTGAGCAGTCTTTGTGTGACATTCTGGGTAAAGAAACTGTCCCATGTTTTATTTTTGTTTTGGGGCGTTTGTGCACACATAATGAGCTGTGTTGGGGGTGGGACTCAAGTCCAAAGGTGGCTAGGTTTGTGTGCCGTATGCCTTGAGCTGTACATTTAGTGCAGCTGCATTTTATTTGTGACTTGTCACATGAAATTAAGTGTAGGATTTTCCACTTGTAGGCATCACATCAGGACTCAAAAAGTTTTGGCGTTTGGAGCAGCCCAGACCTTGGATTTTGACTTACAGAGGTCCAACCTGAAGTAAATCTATATTGAAGATAAATCTGAGGTAAAATTTTAGTTTAAGAACTGTATCTTCAAGCTATGGTCATTATGGAAGAAGGAACTTCATTTGGAAAACATTCCTCCATCAGATTGGCTTGTATGCAGGTTTTTAGGGCATTTTCTTGATTAATGATTAATGTGGGAGGGCCCAGCCCATTGTGGGTGGTACCACCTCTAGGTAACTGGTCCTGAGCTGTATATATATATATATATATATATATATATATATATATATATATATATATATATATATATATATATCAACCTGACAGGCTGGAGAGATGGCTCTAAAGTTTAGTGAACTCGTTGCTCTTGCAGAGGACCCCGGTACAACTTCTGTGTCTCACATGGTGGCTCACAGACATCTGTAAATCCAGTTCCAGGGCATCCATTGCCCTCTACTGACCTCCCCAGACACCAGGCATATACAATGTGTACATACGTACATACAGGTAAAGCAGCAAGCCAGTAACACAGCACTCCTCCATGACCTCTGCTTCAGTTCCTGCCTCTAGGTTCCTGCCTTGAGTTCTTGCTCAGACTCCTCTCAGACTCACAAGCTGTGACTGGGACACATAAACCAATTAACCTTCCTCTCTCCCTACCCCCCAAGTTGCTTTGGTCATGGTGTTTTATCACAGCAATAGAAATCTAATGAAGCTATGAACTGTTGTAAGAAATGGCCATGAGATAAAAAGAGAACACTGAATCACAAATTACAGGGAAGAGCTGTACACCTGGGCAAGTCACTTCTTTCTCAATCTTTTTTTTTTTTTCCTTCCTTTTTCACGTAAAGGCCCAGGAGAAGATTTATCAAAGAAACTTACTTTTAAGGAAGCCAGTGATCCTATAAGAAGGATCGTCAGTGTAAATCAAGCCAAAAGACTTAGATGCTCTCTCCAGCACCCAGACAATTGCCAACACCCAGAGCAGGTAGAGTATGTAACTGATGACTGAATGAATGGCTCTGGGGAGATGGTCACAAGGGTTTTAGGTGGATGGGTAAAAGGAAAGTAATGATAGGGAGCTATATGCCAAGGTGTTGCTGGCAATGTTATGTGAAGAAGGAAATGAGATTTCTTGTCATTGGTTGTTGTTAAGGTAGAAGACGAATGGAATGTTGTGTTCAAATCAGCCCAGCAGAGACCACCTGCATTGGCTTTTCCAAATCCTACACATGGTGGTGATGTTTGAGAGCTTTGCCTTTAGGTAATGGCCTCAGAGGAAGTAATGAATAAATTTGCAAGGAAAAAAAAAAGATGGGGTGAGCACACATGTAATCCAGGGGAAGTACTTTGAGGTGTTTCAAGAAAGATTCTGAGAAATAATCATGGAGCTTAACATGAAGGAATCTTAACTGTGATATGATCTTTTTTCCAAGAAGCAACTTCCGGATATAATATTTCAAGCACTAAGTTGCAAACTCAGTGGCTAGGCCTTGAATGCTTTTATTTGTGTCTTCGGGATTCTATTCATTTGGGATTCTATTCATTCATTTGAAAAAAAAATATTAAGATGATTTTCCAGGAATATTAATGCATACAGCACTGGCTGGCCAGCTCTCATAAAAAACGAAAGCAGCATAAGATCACTGATATTAAGAACTAGGTTTAAGTCATGGGAAGGCCTAGTAACACCAGTGCTTAATTTAAGAAACCTGTTGCATTGATTTGACGAAGAAAAACTTTATCATGGTATGACTGGAAGTTTACCATCCGGTTGTTAGTGGAGACGATAATGGCAGTGTGTCCTACACAGACTTTGGCAGTCACAGGAGCAGTTCTCAAACTAAAATGGAGCTTCAAATCTGAGCACAGGAACAAATCTATCACATTTACCTGTAAGTAAATGTGATAGATTTGGATTCAATGTTAGGTGGCACTTTTTTTTAAAATTTTTTTTTAAACCCTAAAATCCTTTATAATTCATATAGGTATAAATGCCAGCCTCTTACAGGTGGGCATTGTATTTTTTTTTTTCATACCCTCAGTGTCTAGCACCTATTTTTTGGTGTGTAACAGTCTCCTTAACTGTTTTTGGAACAGAAGATGAAAAATACTTTGTTGTGTGTGTGTGTGTGTGTGTGTGTGTGTGTTTGTGTGTGTGTGTGATGTATACGCACATGTGTGTGCAGAAACAGAGGACAAAGCAGGACTTTGGGTGTCATGTTCTACCATTTGAGACTGGGTCTCTCACTGAATGTGGGGCTAGGCGGGCAGTTGCCAAGCCCCACCCACTCCCTTTCTGTCCCCCACAGCACTGGGGCTATAGGTCCTTCTGCTTGTGAAGCGCGTGCTCCTACACACTCTTGCTCCTGCTCCACATTGTTAAGTTTTTGCTAAAGTTGCGGAATGTGATGTCTAGCTGTGTGCATCCTCCCAATAGCTGGACGGAATGGCCACTTGCCCACCGACAACGGCGGAGGCAGGCTGCATTTGGTGAGTGTGGTTCTAACGCTGAAAAACAGAGAGACGTTGACCACATAACACTCTAAATTTCTCCTTCTCTTCGAAATATCTGAGAGTGTGGCCCTGTGATTCACAGATCCCTGTGATGACAATTGCCTGGAATGCAGGAATAGCTGCTCTTATTTAGAAACTACTTCTTCACTGGATGACACCTTTACTAAGTGGGAATGGTGGGCTAGGAATAATGGTGCATGTCTGCACTCTAAGTTTTAGGGTGGCTGAGGCAGGAGGATTGGGAGATTGAGGCCAGCCTAGGTTACATAATTTGAGACTAGTCTAGGCTATACAGTATACAGTGAGACTCTGTCTTAAAAAAAAAAAAAATGTGACTGGCTTCATTCCTGGAGTTAGGGTCAGATTCCAGGTGCTAGAAGCCCTTAACAAACCAAGATCAACCACTCATCCTCAACAATTCAAAAGACAATTTAATAGGGAAGTAAAATAGAAAGAGATTTGTTTGATGTCACACTAGGAGAAGAACAAAGAGGGGAACCCTAAGCCCATCTCTGAGGTCCTGCCATGAGATTTAGGTTTAGGTAGAAGGCAGGAGGTGTGTATGATTGATCAGTCCTGGTCAAGACAAGGGGCTGCCTGTGATCCTCATTTTGGCCCCAGTTCTTTTTGTAAGATGGTCTGCAAAGATGTAGTCTCTTTGGGGAGACATGCTACTTGTCTGGTTGACACCAGGCTATTTTTTTTTTTTAAATATTAGTTACAGTTTATTAACTTTGTATCCCAGCTGTATCCTGCTCCCTCATTTCCTCCCAGTCCCACCCTCCCTCCTTCCCTCCCTCATCTCCTCCCTGCCCCTTTCCAAGTCCACTGATAGGGAAGGACCTCCTCCCCTTTCATCTGACCCTTTTTTAAAAAAATATTTATTTATTTTATGAATGCTCTGTTTTCATGCACACCAGAAGAGGAAATCAAATTCCATTACAGATAGCTGTGAGCTACCATATGGTTGCTGGGACTAGAACTCAGGACCTCTGGAAGAACAGTCAGTGCACTTAACCACTGAGCCATCTCTCCAGCCCTGACACCAGGCTCTTAACCTTCTTCTTCTCCTCCCTGTAGAAGATTCCTGGAGAAATTTTAATGACTTCAAGTGTGTTCTCTTAAGAGCTTGATAGCCAAAGGACTGGCAAGCATGTGCTTAGGATGTCTTCACTGTACCCCCTCCTCGAGGTCCCAAGCTTCACTGATGCGTGAGGGCATTCTGTTGTACATGGCTTCAAGCTCACTTTAGTGTCTTGCTTGTATATGGGACAATGCTCTGCTGTAGTATTGAGTCTGGAGTGTCCCTCTGAGGCCCATGTTACAGATGGCTTGCTCTCCAGCTGATGTGGTTTTTGAGAAGCTGTGGTGCACTTAAGAGGCGAGACCTACTGGAAGGAAGTTGGGTCATGTGGAAGCTTGCTTTGGGATACTCGGACCCTGTATCTTCCTTTGGTTTTAGGCTCCGTATGTGTTTTCCTTTGCCAAATCTTTCTACCATAGTGTTCTCTGTCATCAAAAGCCCAAAGCAACAAGATCACATCATGTTGGACAGATGCTACTGTAACTGTAAGCCAAAATAAAACTTTCTTTCTTCAAAGTTAATTTCCTCAACATTTTAAAAAATATAAGTAATTGATTATTATTATTATTATTTAGAGCAATGACATGCTGAGTACCAGGGGTCCTCAGGATTGGAAGACAGTGCTGGCTTTGTTTCATTGGTCTCAACAAACTAAAAATCTAAACATGAGCTTAATGGCTTCTTCCAGCCCAGCATAAAGAGAAAGTATGACCCTAGGCGTGGTGTGAATGGAGTGTGCATGTTCCTATAAGTTCACTGTGCCTCCAGTGGGGATTGGGTCGGCTCCAAGCACTAAATAACCCTAATGATATCAGGTAGGGGCTCACCAGGGAGCTGTTTGAGAGTTTGTCAGAGCATATTAAAATACAATACATCCCCATCATCCAAAATGGGACATCAGTCCATCTGTCCAGACATTCCTTCCTCATATTAAATTAGTCCAGGGGCTTTTTAAAATTACATCATCTACTCAGACCTCCTTCTTCAGTGAATAAAAATGTGGTGAGAATGGAGCAAAATCAGAATAAAGCACACTGGTGGAAGTTCCATAATTGAAATCATTATTGCTTCAGACACCACTGCTCTAATCAACAGAATCATAAATCAATGCTTCTCGCATGTGAAGGTTGAAAAAATAAAGTGATGTTAAACAAATTGGTCCTCTTAAAAGGCATGATGCAATTGGAAGCCACTGGAAATGGATAAAAAAAGTGCTTTCTGAAGGGATATATTGCTCTAGCATTTTATCTTTCACTTAATTAAAAAAATACATTACCTGGTCCTTTCTTAGAAATTACATATTGGAGGTCTATAATGGCTGAGCCTTTAACCCATTAAAAAAATTTACTCCCAGGAATAGTTAATATTTGACGTTTAATTGCTTTTACTTGTTGGAAAAGAAAATATGTTTCTTTCCTTCCTTTCTTGATTGACTTTTTCAAAAATCACCTTGTGAGCTGTGAAGATGGAAAGGAGAAATTGATTTTAACATATATATATATATATATATATATATATATATATATATATATATTTTTTTTTTTTATTTTTATTTTATTTTTTATTTTTTGTTTTTTTTTTTTTTTTTTTTTTTTTTCTCTTGTGAGAAGACTGGTATTTCTGGACAATGCTGTTAGGTAGGTGTAATTATCTCCAGTGAATGGTTCAGCTGCAGAGGTCTAGAGGGCGTATGGGTTACTTAGGTAGTAAATCATGGGCGTCCTTATTCCTTCCACCATGACCAACTCCCTTGCGTCTAGACACACATTTTGGTAGGTGTAGTGAGAGCAGAGGAGCCAGGATAGAACGCCATGCTGGAAAAGCTAATTCTCACGAGCTGTTAGCCAACATTTGGTTCTGGGACAGTCACCACATCATCCTTCTTGATGATGGACCGAACGGAGCCGCCCAATGAACTGTATCATGCATAAGGACTCAGAAGAGATTCTAATCGGGTTTTGTGTCAAGGAGCAGGAAGCCTGGGTTTCTTCTAGAACAATGCCTGTATAGAGTCTGTGAATGCGCAGGCCTCGCCTTAGCAGGGCGTTGGTGAATGAAGGAGGAAAAAACAACAACAACAACAACAACACACACACACACACACACACACACACACACACACACTGATTTGATTTCCACAAGTCAGAAGATTTTCATTTCTTCAAGCTTTGCTTTCTTTCTTTTCCAGGCAGCAAATTCAGCGCTGAAGACCAAAGTGCTTTCGCTTTCTTTTCTTTCCACAGAGCCAGGTATCAGTGAAGGCTCTTGAAAGGCAGCACAAACCAACTGCTTCTCGAGATTATGTCTTCGGAGCTCAGGTGCTCAGGTGTGAAACCTCCTCAGGTTTCACATTCTGCGGCTTGTGGTCACATGCAGACTGTGCCTCTTCTACCTCACAGGAAAATATGTGTATGCTGGTCTCACCAGGTTCCATTTCTCCTAGGATTGGTCCTGCTTGCTCCATCTTCACTCTCCACTGGTTAATGGTGGGCTCACGACTTTCATGCGGGAGATTGGACACCCAACAGAAGACCCGGAAGACCAGGAGGCTGCCCTTCCCGCCTCTGGCTTTGATCTGCCAGAGTTGATAAGGTTAGCAACTGCTGGATGGGGGAGACAGAAAGGGAGGAGAGAGAGGGGAGGGGGAGGGCAAGGGGAAGGCTTAGGGGGAGGGTAAGAGGGGGAAGGGGAAGGAAGGAGAGGAAGAGGGAGAGGGAAAGGAAGAGCTTCAGTGGTCCTTCCTCTCTCCCACCCCCAATCCCTCTGCTAGGATTCCAGGCTGGGGAGGCCACACCTGGGGTTTTTACAAGTGTGCTGCTGCACTGAACTGAGGTCCTCACCCTTGCTCAGCGGCATTCTTACCCACTGAGCCATTTCCCCACCCCTGAGCTGTTTCTGAGAGAGAAGTAGTGCGACACTGTGAGAAAGCTGGCACGGGGCTCAAGAACAGGAGTCTGTGTGGTTTACATGCTTGTCCCCTTAGATAGAGAACACACAAAAGCCGACATGCACCTAAAAAAAAAAAAAGAAGTTGATGATTTTCCTTTCTCATCCTTTCTTCTTTGTTGTTTTCTACTTCTGTATTTTCTTATTAACACGAATTCTCATTGTTTAATGAGGAACAGTGACATGGATGTGCCCAGGTGGTTGTTTTAGGAACTGCTGACAAGACCCAAGAACTACACTAACAAATACCTCCCTTACCTCCTCCTCCCCACCTCCCATCCCACGGTCTCTTCTGTCTTAGACTGGCCTCAAACTGTATGTAGCCAAGGAAGAGCCTAAACTTTGGATTCTCAAGCCTCCATCACGGAGTGCTGGAATTCCTTCACCGCACTCTCATGCCCACATTATGCAAGCCTGGGGAATGAACCCAGGGCTTCAGGCATGTGACACAAGCAGTTTGCAAACTGGAGCTGCAACCCCAGCACTCACATCTTAAAGAATGGTTTTGAGGCTACCTGTAATCTGATAATAATAAGATTATATAATAACCACGTGAAAAAGTAAACAGGAAAGCTTACATCCAGGGAAAACAGGCAAACTTGTAAGGGCTTATCTGTAACTAATTAACAAGATGCTATCAGCAGTAAGGCTTCAGTGTTTAAAGCCTTTCCTCTGGGTGAGATATAGGCACTATGTGAATAATCTTCAGCTAAGACAATCTAATTGATATTTTTTTCAGTTTAATGGAGGCCCAAAGGAACAACATTTACATTGCAGGTCCAAAGGTCTCTGAAAGGACAGCAGCTAGATCCACTGGAGACTTTTGACTCGAACTGGGGCCTAGAACAGTGTTTTTAAAAACTTGCTTTGTGTGAGAAAATATCTGAAAATATTAACGGAATTTGTGGCCTCCTTCTCCAGAAAGACACACATCAATAACATCTTTGGTTTATTTATTTACTTTAAGATTTGGTCTGCAAGGTTTATCTGTCTGTCTGTGTATCTATCTATCTATCTGTCTGTCTATTAGTATAGTATATGAGGGGGGAGAGATGGAGAAACAGTTTAGTGTGAAGGCCCTTTTTCTAATACTTCAAGCATAGATACAGTTTTTTTTTTCAGAACTCATTTTACCCTTCGATGACTGAAGGCAGTAAAATGATGATAATGAATAATTAAGGTTCCCGCCTCCCTCCCCTGAGAAAGGGTTTCTCTGTTTACACCTCTGACTGTCCTGAATTCACGCTGTAGCCCAGGCTAGCCTCAAAGTCACAGAGATCTATCTACCTCTGCGTCCCGAGATTAAGGGCATGCACCATATTACCCGGCCAGTTTCAGTATTTCCAATTACATCATGCTTTTACATTTTAATTTTTATTTGTTTATTTATGTCTCTCTCTCTCACACACACACCACAGTGTTCATGTGGTAGTCAGAGGACAACTTTCCGGTGTCAGGTCTCTCCTGTGGGTTCTGGGGGCCAAACTCAGTCCATCAGGCTTTGTAGCAAGCCCTCTAGCTAATGGGCTATCTCTCTGATCCTTCAGTACTCTGCTTAATGCGATCCTTTGTTTTTACAGATTTTGATTCACAGTTACTACCTGCCACCAGCTTTACAGCGGGAGAGTGAAAGAACACGCAGCACCCTGTACGGATAGTCAGAGGCTTGCACCTCACAGCAGAGCTGGCTCTGACAGACAAACGCTGATTAGGGTGAGTGGACAGTGTTAAGAGCTGCTTTTGTGGGTTCCCCTGCAGAAAGCTGGTTGTGTTCAATGCACATATCATAAGTGCACATGTGCAAGACACGATAGTGTTAGATGGCACAAGAATGGGGCAGGTGATGCTCCAGTGTGAGGCTCCAGAAGGGCTCTGAGGCACAGGGCTCTGGCAGTGCCCTGCTACCCTCTGTGCCTCTAATGAGCCCATGGCTCCATCTCATGGAATATTTTCATCCTCTGGAAGACAGAAATTATTTTTACTATTTCCATTTTTCTGAAATTGAAAACAAAACAAAACAAACAAACAACAACAAACAACTTCTCAGGTACAAATCCCCAAAGACTCCAAGTGCTCTCTCTATGTCATGATTAGAGGTCATTAGGCTGTCTAGCCCAGAAACTTCCGCCTGAGCCTATGTTACAGAATATGAGCATTCATGCATCTGGTCAATTACACAATGCTCCCCCAACAGGGGAAATTCCTTCCCCACTTCAGCTGGTGCACAGTTATGCCCTGGAGCCCAGGACGGACATGCCTTGTAACTTTTTAACCTAGTTAGTGTAACCGCCAATATTGTTCCCGTTCATATAAATGTCTAATCCTTTCTTGAATATTGCTAGACTATTTCCCTCAATAATATCCTGCAGCAGTGAATTCCAAAGGTGCATTATACGCTGCTTTAAAAATATTTCCTTTATTCGTTTTAAATGTGTTGCCTTTTAACATCCCAGTGGGGCCGGTGTTCTTGCGTTAAGTGGAACAGGTTAAAGACAAAGCGTTACCTCTCCCCAGCTTTTTCTTAGCTATTATTAAAGCCCGTCTTCTTTCACTAGTTTCTGTTTTGTCACTTATAATAGTGATTAAGTGAGATGATTTGACTAAGTGGTTTTATTCTACCCGGGACACAGAGCAGGCACTGACCCAAAAGCTTCTCTTGATACTCAAGTGTGATTTATTAGGTAAATATTTACCCAGTACCTATTTGTATAGGAACTGTTTCAATTTTGGAGAGACAACTTTGAATAAGACTAGGCCATTGTTTAGGGGGACCTGATTTTTCTTGAGAGGGAAATGGGCAGTAAAATAGTGAGTAAATTGATGAGAGGCCATTTCAGGTAAAAGCAAAGCAAAACAACCCCCTTCACCCCCCCAAAAAAAAAAAAACAAAACAAAAAAACTATCCACCATCCATATTCTCAACTTCTATCAGGCCTGGTTTCTTACTGTTTTTTTTTTTTTCCTCTAAAATATGTAGCAAGATAATTATTTACATAGCATTTACATTGCATTAAGTACTACAAGTAATCTACAAATGATTAACGTGCATGCAAGCATGTGCATAAATTATATGCCGTTCCATACTGTGCCATAGAAGGGACTTGAACATGAGATTTCAAGGTCCTTGGATGAGGGAGTGTTTTTCTGGAAAGAGGGTTTTTGGGCCCAGCCACCTCTGAGTCATCTGTATGACCTCTCATGAAGATAAGTTAGTGCCTAGAAGTATCTATGGCTCTGTCTTTATTTACTGAGTATGTGAATGAATCATGATTAAGAAAGGTCATGTTAGTTTTGAAGACCACCTAATAAGTAACTCACAGATCTGGGAGGGAAAATTCTCCAATGCTAATCTTAACTCCCAAGAGTGTTGGAGTAGACAAAGGGGTTTAACTAGGGACAGTCCAGTTGCAAGACATGAGGTGCTCTGTCTGAGCAGCTGGGTAACCTTGGGAAGGTCACCTTATTACTCTCACCCAAAGCATTCTTCTTCACAAAAGCAGGAAGAAATTAATTTTTCTCTCTTTCTTGGGGATTTGAATATTTAGGTACCACTATCTGAAAGTTCTTTATAAGCCTTCAAATGATGCAAATGCTGTAGAACTTTGGTTTTTATTTTTATTTTAAATTTTGTTTTTAGATAAGGTCTTGAGTAGTCCAGACAGACCTCAAATTCATTGAATAGCTGGGGATGACCTTGAACACCTGACCCCACTTCATCTACCTCTTTCAAGTGCTGGGACTTCCGGTATGTATCACCACATCCATTTATGCAGTGCTGGCTTTGAAGCCATGACTTTGTGCGTTCTAGGCAAATACTTTCCCAATTTTTCCCAAATGAGGTACATCTTGCAGCTCCAGGATCTGGTTATTGTTGCCACTGGTTGTTCTTACACAGGATTTACCTCAGGCATTCGCCACATCCACAGCTGCACCAACCAGTCTTTCATTCATCCTTTTCTCCCTTCATTGTTTTCTCAGTTTCCTAAGTTATTTCTGCCTCTACTGAAAGCCCACCAATGGCACCCTGGTAGTTCCCACTCTCGGAGCTAGCTTAGGGCAGCCATAGACTTATCTTCCTGAGCGTGTGGTCTGTTTCTTCAGGATTTCAAAAATGGAATCACGTGAAGTTCCTACTTGTTGACACCATGCACTGGAAGTGGTTTTCAAACAGCGATTGTTTGCTTTTATTTTATTTACTGCTTAATCTTCTGGGGGCAGGTTATCCAAGCTTCTACATACGAAGGCAGAATCCTTGCCTGAATTTCTGAGTGAATCCCTCCCTGGAAACCAGATTTTGACCCAGTTACCTGTCTTTAGTTTCCCCCCACTGTATTCCAATACGGTAGGCATATATCATTTTCTTCGGTAGCCTCTCATGATTTTTTTAATTGCTCCTTAATATACGCTCTCCCCATGAGGCAATTTGAAGTAGAGTCATGCACAGCCCCACATAATCATGTATTTAAAAGGCATCTCAATAAATTATTAGGATTGTTTACACGCATCGTTTGAATTTACTGGCAAATTGCCTGGGTCTTGGTTTTAGGAAATAGCTGCCTGCCAGGCTCCTTCAGGGTGAAACTCTGAAATAGGAGAAGTTGCCCTTTGCTGTCCCTCACTGGCACTTCCTTTGCCTAGTGCCTGGCCTTTCAACACCTCTCTCCTCTCCCTGCCCTGAATAACTCTGAGCGGCTGTCAGGCCTTTTGCACCTTCATGTGAAGATGTTTCATGGGTCCCTTCCCAGATCTGCCCCCAACCAAGGTGAGATGTGCAAAGAAATAAATCTTCAATGGTATAATTTTAGATGCTCTGGCAGCTGGAGAGGGCAGCTATTTTGGGCTGTAGGTCTTTCTCCTTGACCTGAGGTGACATGCTTTTGCCTGTTGCTAGAGTAGCCAGCCAACCCTGCATAGTGTCGTTTTAACCATGTATTTGCAGTTCCTGGAGTGGCTTCTTCATTCCTCTGCTGAGGTCTGTGCTCACCCAGAATTTTGGGTGCCTATGCAGGGGCATGGGTCTGTCGACAGGTGCTCAGGTAGGCTTGTGGTAGCATAATGCTCCATCAAAGCCTCTGGAGACACTACAGACGGAACAGACTCCCTTCCATGCAGAAAACGGAGGAAAACTGATGGGCCCAACTTCTGTGTGTCCTTCGGGTCTCCATGCTTTATCAGCTGCTTGGCCACCATTGTGTGAGGCACTCCCACTTAGAGCCAGGCCGGTCTCCAGACCACAGTGTCTGTGTCTTGCCACCTACACTGCCTGGCCAGAAGCTGTGTTTTCATGACGGCTCATCTGACCACCCTGCTTGCTGTCTTCCCCAGGCTCCTGATGCAGCTGCTATCTTCGGACCTCCTGGACAGCCCAGGGAAGGAAGTGGGAGCTCCTGCCGCAGATGGGTGGAACAGCGACAAGAAAGGCTGAAGGTGGCCAAAAATAACAGTGCCTTCCAGATGAGGTGACCTCAGGGCCAAGAGCTTCATGGGGTAGAGTATCTTGTTCCTAGTTTTATGATCTAAAAAAGTACACAGAAGATGCAAAGATACTCCACAGAGAAGGAATAAAGTCTGCAGAGAACAGGGAAATGTGATTCGTTACTTTTTTTTTTTAATTGAGTTTCTTTGTGCACAAACACACAAGAAAACAGCCTTTTATACATGTTTGAAGAAAGACCGTAGGTAGTTGAAGACAGATGATAGATACGTAGATAGGTAGATAGGTAGACAGACAGAAAAGACAGACATAACATAGTGCACTCGAAGACGGAAAAGGAGGAAGAGGTAGAGACAACGCTGCCTTCCTTTGTTTGCTACTGAAACAAATTTAATAAATCTTCATTGACGATCAAGTATGTCTGGTCCTATTAACTTCCTGCACGCCATGCCACCCTAAAACTTGGCCATCACTGTATCATGATCAGTCATGGTTCTGAGCGTCAACTGGGAAGAGCTGGATGGTCTCAACAAAGGCTTGCTGAGGTAGAGGCTGGCACGTAGCTGAGGCTGGCTTTTACAAGGCTTGCTCTTCCCCTTCCGGTGCTTGAAGCCGGCCAGCCATTGCTCCACCCTCACACGGGGCTGTTCGATGGGGATGCCTGAACAGAGTCATTCCCCGCAGCCTGCGCCTCATTGCCATCTCATTATTATGCTTCTTGCATAACAACATTTTCAGTGCTTGAAAAGCGAAGGTCCCAAGACTAGGTAGAAAACAAAACAAAAACGAAACTGAATCATCTTTTTGGTGCAGCCGAGTCACATGCTCTGTTGGTCCACCAATCACGAGGTCAGCTCCGGTTCAAGAGGCAGACACAGAGCTGCCTCGCTGGAGCTTCAAAGTGTTGTTGCACTTGTAAACATCTTAAAAAAAACTTCTAACCACGATGTCTGCTGGCCTCAACTCCAAACCTCCATGAGTAAGTATCTAGTTGAGGCTATAAAAATACAGGAAAGGACTGGGAATGTAGTTCAACAGTGCAGCACTTGCCCAGGGTCCAAGAAGCACTAGCACTGTGAAGAAGAGAGTGTCCAGTGGAAGGGAATGAAGTGTCCACCGGTCAGGGCTATGAGGCAGCAGATGAGTGTGTCTAAGGCATAAAATGCTTCATCGAACAGCTGTGTGTTGTGGTGCGTTACTTATAATCTCAGAGCAAGCGTACATGTGTGCCTTCGTGTGTATGTGTGTATGTGTGTGTGTGATGTGTGTTGAATCTTTAAGTCTGAGGCCAGCCTGGGCCATACGTAGCAAGACTCTGACTCAAAAAAGAAGAGCAACAAACAATTCCCAAACTTTGCCTACATAGAGATCATAGGCTAAAAGTCACAGCGAAGCCTGTGGTTGCTTACTGCCATTGGAGAGACCAGAAAGGCCAGTTAGGCCAACTGAAGGACACAGGGACAAAGTGGCTAACATCTTTAAAATATAGAGTGGGTGTTCTTGCCACCCTTGCTCAGGCCTGCATGCTTGCTTGCAGTGACTTTGCTCTGTGTTACTGGCTTTTTTACTGCCCTGCCTCACCTGAGTCCTACCACCTGTCTGTTATTTCCTACCACAATATTCTGCTGTGGCTGTCTAACTCTTCCCCATCCCCAAGTGTTCTGGAGCAGAGACTCCATCCTTTATGCATCTGAAGGGCTGGCCTTCTGACTCTCCCCCTACTTACGGGAAGAACAGCGAACATCGCCCTGCCCTTTCACGTCTCACTCTCAAGCTCATTGTTTGCAATACCTGTATTTATTTTGCTTTTCCCCCGAGTGGCCCCTGTCTGTTGTCCTCTAGAGCCTTGTCTTGTTTTCCACACATCTCATGCCTTTCCTCTCTGCTCTGGTCTGTCTTAACCTAGCAGCTAGTGGCCTGCCAATCACAGGACGTCAGGCCCCGGTATGCACCATGCCCAGCACCTCCTCCGGTCTCAGCTTTGACATCTTCCTGCGGAGGGCTTACTCCAGTCCCAGGACTTTCAGGTGAGGCTTGCTGCTCTATCTTTGGTAAGCATTTCCTCCATCCCGTCACCACTAAAAGCACTTTTCATCTGAACCTTTATTCTCTAAATACCAACCAGGGTGGAATTCACCTTTAATCCTCACAGAGGCTGGGCTTCTTTTCTCTTAGTACAAAGCCACATATATCCACTGTGGAAAACTTAGAACACACAGAAAAGCAAAATTATATTTATATGCACCATTACTAACCTTTGATGTGGGTCCCTCTCAGCACTTCCCTCACAATGTGATGATTTTTTTTTTTTTTTAACAGACAAAACCCAGCAGCACTTAGATGGGAAATACTTTCTTCTGTGCTTACTTGCTGGCTTGTAGAACCAGTTCTAAGGAACTTCAGTGCCAGGCCCTTGCTGATTGGAATAGGGCTAGCTATCAGGCCCGCTGGGTGTGTGTCTGCTCTTTCCTTAAGATTAAATCAGATAGTATCTGAGACTGGACCTGTGATATCTCATTGAGGTGGGATTAGTCATTGTGCCTGGAAAGGTAAAGATTTGCTGGAGAAGGTGATTTGTAGGAGAGAATGGAGGAGACAGGTAGACACTGAGGAAACGTCAGGGTTAAAGGAGCAAGAAATCCTCACACCTGGCCCCAGTGATTTCAGTGACTTTTCTCTGGTGGCCTTGTATCCTTATCTTGCCTCTGTCCTTAAGCAGTGTCTATGGGATTCTGATATCTCTATCTAACTGCCTGCTCAAGGTTGTTGCTCTTAGTAGACGGCTTTTGCAATAAATAAGATGCTAGAATTTTTCTGTGTATCACATGTCCATCCAGATTATAGTTTTCAGTGTAGTAAGCCAAGTCCTGTGAATTCTGGATATTTGGTGGTGGGGAGGGACAGTGTACTTCCTGTGAGCAGCTTGAGCTCTGCAGTGGAACGGTGCTGAGTTCATATGCCCATTCTCATCAACTTTGCTGTGTGATACGGATGATGAACACTGTTGGGCTCAGTATTTCCATCTATTAAATGGTAAATCACAAGGAATCTTAAAACTTGGAATCAAACTTGCAGTATACAGAGGATGACCCTGAATCCCCTATTTTCCCGCTTTCATCACCTATGTGCTGGTGACCTGGTCCCGGGCTGTTATTAATAGTCACAAAACAGCTCTCCTATTTCCAACATGGAGAAACACAACTGTAAGAATACTGCTGGGCCTGAGCATCTCTTCATTATTACTCCTCGGGCCACTTGCCCCCAAGCTGAAATAGTGGGCATGAGATCATGAGTGTGAAGAAGGCGTAACCGTGGACCACCATTACCGCTGCCTATAGCCTCCTTGAAGCGCTTGCTACCCTGGTCATTGCCATCCTCATCTCTACCCTTTTTGTGGCTTTAGAGACACTGCATTTCCTTCCATGTCTATAGTGTCACCTGTACTCAACTTCCAACAGAATGAAAATACTGTCACATCTGACCCGTTGGACACTTTCAGGTGAAATTTAAAACCATTCGGCTATTCACTTTCATGCCACGTGTCAATCAGGCTCAGAGATATAGGAGGCCTGTGAATTAGATTTCCATTTGATGAGGGGACTCCCAGGTTGCTACCCACAGAGGGGACTTTGCAGCCATTGTGTGAATAGTTCCAGATGATTCTAAGGAAGTCAGATATTGACTTGAGTCAATATAAACTTCTTAGATTTCATAAAGTGTTCTGAGAAGTAGGGCCATTCAGAACATGAAACCTTTTTGGCTTCTGTTGTGTCTGAAGTCACCTGCTGAGCCTGCTGCAGCCTCATAGCTTGGGAGAGCGTGGATATGGGACTTAGTGAGCTGCTTTTATTTATTTTATTTATTTATGTTTGTTCTTTAAAAGGCAGCATCTCATTATGCAGCCTGGAACTTACTGTGTATTCCAGGATGGTCTTTTTAACTTTAATTAATTTATTTTTTATTAATTAAAGCTTATTCACTTCGTATCCCAGCTATAGCCCCCCTCTCTCATCTCCATCAACCCCACCCTCCCTCCCTCATCTCCTCCCATGCTCCTCCCCAAGTCCACTGATAGGGCAGGTCCTCCTCTTCTTCCAACTGACCCTAGCCTACCAGGTCTCATCAGGACTGGCTGCATTGTCTTCCTCTGTGGGGGACAGGCTCCCCCCCCCACCCCCCTCAGTGGGAGGTGATCAAAGAGCCAGCCACTGAGTTTATGTCAAGACAGTCCCTGTTCCCATTACTAGGGAACCCACTTGGACACTGAGCTGCCATGGGCTACATCTGTGGAGGGGTTCTAGGTTATCTCCATGCATGGCCCTTGTTTGGAGTATCAGTCTCAGAAAAGACCCCTGTGCCCAGATTTTTTGGCTCTGTTGCTCTCCTTGTGGAGCTCCTGTCCCCTCCAGGTCCTTCTATTTCCCCCTTCTTTCATGAGATTCCCTGCATTCTCCCCAAAGTTTGGCTATGAGTCTCAGCATCTGCTTTGATACCCTACTGGGTAGAGTCTTTCAGAAGCCCTCTGTGGTAGTCTCCTGTCCTGTTCCCTCTTTTCTCCCTCTTCCTATGTCCATCCTATTTGCCTTTCTGGATGAGGATTGAGCATCTTACCCAGGGTCCTCCTTTTTGCTTAGCTTCTTTAGTTGTACAGATTTTAGTATGTTTATCCTATATTATATGTCTAATGTCCACTTATAAGTGAGTATATATACAATGTGGGGCCCACATTGTACCATGCACTCAGGGACAAGAAAAAACTACCCATGTGACCCTGATCCTCAAGGAACATAGTGTATTAGGAAAGTAGATATACAAACAACTCCAAGGGAAAGGAATTATATCAGGATGAGGCCATTAATCTTTGGGGAAGTCCAGAATTAAGTATTTCAAGAGTCAAAGTTTATACATTTAGTCTTTCAGCTTTTTATTTGTTTCACAGTGGTAGAATTCAGGGTTTGTTTATTTGTTTGTTTAATTTAATTGCCAACAATGATCAACAGCAAATTTTTAGGTAGTAGGCAGAGGGAGTATCAGTAGCAAAGAGGGGTTGATTCTTTTTAGTTAGCAGAGGAGTTTTTTGTTGTTGTTGTCATCTTAAACAATTGTCCTAACTACCCTATGCCATCTTACTAATATCTGCTAGCTGTATGTGAGCTGCAGACAATGCTTAGGGGAAGGGCCTGTGTTTGTTCTTTTATAAGGTGTTAGGGAAGGCTTAGTAGGTGTTGCCAGTGAGGAGGCAGATAGGGTGACTAGAAGTTTGAAAAGTATTGGGTGAAACACAGAAGGGCCTTTGAGCAACAAAAAGAGACTAAGACAGCATGAACACTTACTTGATGGCTGGTAGGCTAACAGCTAAGGCTCCTTCATAAGACTTGTATTACCCGAGCAGGCCCTGGCTAAA